GCAGAGGATAGCGTAGGGTCGAGTCGCCTTCAATAAAAAGAAGTCACTTCTATGCTCACGAAAATCGTTAAATTATAAATTCGAAAAAGGTTGTTAAAGGTGTATGTTTGGAACATGGCGCTGAAACATGGACAGTGGGCGCGGCGGAAAAGAAAAGATTAGAAGCGTTCGAAAGATAGAGAAGGTTAGAAATGAAGAGGTATTAGAAAGAGTTAGAGAACAGAGGACTCTACGGAAGTCAATAAGAAATAGGCGAGATAGGTTGGTAGGACACCTCAGGCATGAAGGTCTAGTCAGAGACATATTAGAGGCAGAAACGGGAGTTATGAGGGGTAGAGGTAGACCAAGATCAGATTACTGTTCGCAAATAGTTCATATCCTTAACTAGTTTTAGGGAAATGTGAAGATTAGCTCAGGATAGGAAACAGTGGAGGTGCGTGTCCAACCAGTCTTAGGACTGACGACCTTATGATGATGATACAGTAAACATCATATATACCATATTTATATCATATATATAAAGGAAAATGTACATAAATTTTAAAGATCATAATGACTTTTGATTAATGTTTCTCAGAATCTGAAGTACCATCTGAAGCAGAATAATTATTTACACTGTCTCCTATGTTAATATTTATTAAAATAGTCCAAATAACAAATAACCCGTAATAACAACAATAACCAAAGCAAAATCAATAACAATAGTAAAAACGATAAAAACACAGAAGTAACACATGAACCAACAGGAACAATTCTGCTGCGCCCGAATGTAATCTAGCCAAACGGTGTAACATAAGTGGCATCCCTCGCTTCCACAAGCACTCAGTTTACCGCGCATCTTTAGGCGGAAACAACTCACACTTCTACCTATTTGTGTCGAGCTGTACATAGTTATTTAACAACCATCATCATCGTACAATCGTCAATCCGAAGACAGGTTGGACGCGGACCTCTATTCTTTCTGTCTCCAGCCAATTTTCATATTTCCCTAAAGTAAAGCATCCCTCATCCCAATAAATAAATACAAGAAAGTTTTAAAACGAAACCAAAACAACTGATCCTGTCCTGATTCTGATCCTTCCATCTCCGATGCTGGATATGGGCAATCCACTCGTGTTAGCGAAAGTTTAGGAAGTAAAAATGGCCTTTAGACCTGGATCAGCAGAGTATCAGTTCATCTACTGGCCGCGAAGGCTTTTAACAATTTGTGAAACTAAAACACCTACAAAAGACGAATATCAAAAATCGGTTCTGCTTGATTACCCCATTTCCCTCTCCGAACGACAGTCAGCCCATATTACACAATTTAGCGCAGCGAAATAGTGCAAAAAATTATTTGAAAAATTGTTTTAAAGTATAGACAACCAGATGAAACCTTCGTAGCATAATTTGATACGTCATTGGATATCTGAAATGATCATTTAGAACTTTCTTGAAGGATGCCGATTTTTATAAAAATTATAAAATTTGTGAACATTAAACAAACGTAGTACTTTTTATTACATACTACGCAAAATCAACGAAAAAGTATGACGTATTTTAATGAACTTAGTTTTATTTGAAAGCAGATACATAACTACCCGCAAAGATATAAAAATTATAAAAAAAAACTGTTTGCTTTCAAACAAAACAGAGTTTATTAAAATACGTCATACGGTTTCGGAGATATTGCGTAGTAAGTAATAAAAAGCGTTTTTTAATTTTCACAAAAACACATTTTTAGATCTAAAAAAGACGATACACAGTCGTGTATGGTCATTTCAAATGACCAATGACCTATCTAATCATGTCATAAAGGTTTCGTATGGTTATACCTTAAAATATTTTTTCCGAAAAAGAAGCGACTTGTCCTGATGTTTTTACTGCACTAATTACCGTTTATCCTATTTTCAATTTTCAGCTCCCCCTTCCGTGGTTACCTTTCTGCAGGGTCACCTTTATCATCCCACCCGGTTTCCCTTTATCTGATCGACAACCCTAAGGCATTTACCGAACAAATCGGAGGAGGCCTTTAAGAACAAACTGACATAATATCCAATTACAGCAGTTTGTCGCCATCTACTGATATTTGCAACTAACTGATGTATTCAGGTAGGATAAGGCAAATCTGACGTCAAATATTACACGAATTGTCACACAACTAAATAGAGGAATATCTTAAAATGAGTGTAATAGCTAACTGCGACTTATAATTAAAATGAAGTGTAATTAGCGAGCCCTTTTAATATTAAATAAAACCCATAAAAAATGAGAAACTAATCGACACATATTTTAAATATTTTTAATTGTTTGGTTTTAAATTTTGCTTAAAATGATTGTCAATTTTGAGGGTTTACCCTAAACTATTTTTTATGATCCACCTTACTTCCTAATCATTGAAGTATCTACCAATATAGATAATTGAAACTTATGAGTAATACTGTTACAGTCGTAAAAAATTCAAAGTAATGCTAAAATTTCGGTAGGTAATGACTTTAAAAACTCGTATAATCTATAATTTAAATTGTAATATATTGTAATGTCTCAAAAAAAATTGTCAAACCTCGAATATTACACAACCACCTTAGGTGTCACCACTGAAAATACCAGTGACAGCTGCTGGAATTCTAAGTTGTCCAAAAAAAATCCTCTGCTCTTCCAACTGGTCCTAGGTATCGTTAGAATTTTAATTTATATCACCGTTTGTAATTATTAGGCACTCAGGTAAAATAAAACCACAGTAAAACTGTTGCATTACTATGGCAAGCCAATATCACTAAAATATTTTAAATTTGAATATTCGCTCTGCGCACGATATTGCTCCTACAGAACTATTTGCATTTAAAAACAGACCCAATATTTTCGCCGCTTCTCTGCCCCTGCTTCTAAATTGGTACCGGAAATGGAAACTTTCCGTTAACGAGACCAAATTGGTTTCCCTCCCCCACACTCCCCTCTCCCCCCCCATCCAAACTTAACCATTTTTCCATATCAATCCTCTTCCCAGTCCCAACCTTCCATCTTCTTTCCGGGGATGAGCAACCCTCTGGGTTTATCTCCCCGCTCGAGGAGGGGTTTTAGTCGGTAAAAATCCGACACTATCTCCCTTCAGAGGGTGTCTTTTGAAGATTTCCCCTCCTCGAGAATAATCTAAAAAAAAAATTTGCCGCTTTACTCTGCTCAGTGATCTGAGCTTGCATCGACAACATAAATGTACTTCTACGAGATGTTTTTAGTCAAAAAAACCATGTGGGTAATTGACGATGAATTTTTCCGATATTAAGAGACAGTGAATTTTGAAACATAAGGGTGAACAAGTGCAGTTAATGATAGATTCTGAAGACAAAAGACTGTTTTCTCTGACTGCTCTGAAGTGATAACTAATTTCTCCACTGATCTCGTCACAACCCATTAAGCATGAACGAAGAAGTTATCTCAGACGGTCATACAGAACTAACCAATTTCTCCAGTGATCTGGACACAGCTATTTAAGCATAAACAAAGAAGTTATCTCAGACAGTAATCTAAAACCAACCAATTTCTCCGCTAATTTCGCCTCAGTCAGTGAAACACGAAAAAGTTATTTCAGACTGTAATACAGAACTAACCAATTTCTCCACTGATCTCGTCACAGCCAGTTAAGCATGAACGAAGAAGTTATCTCAGGCTGTAGTCCAAAACCAACCAGTTTCTCGACTCAATCAATCAATCATGAAGAAGTTATCTCAGATTGTCATACAGAACCAACCAATTTGTCCACTAATCTCGTCACAGCCAATTAAGCATAAACGAAGAAGTTATCTCAGACTGTAGTCCAAAACCAACCAGTTTCTCGGCTCAATCAATCAAGTATGAAGAAATTATCTCAGACTGTCGTACAGAACCAACCAATTTCTCCACTGATCTTGTCTCAGCTATTTAATCATAAACAAAGAGGTTATCTCAGACAGTAATCTAAAATCAACCAATTTCTCCGCTAATTTCGCCTCAGTCAGTGAAACACGAAAAAGTTATTTCAGACTGTAATACATAAAGAACCAATTTCTCCACTGATCTCGCTACAGACAGTCAAGCATGAAGAAACAAACAATAAAATTGAAAATTAGATGTTTAACAAAAGTCAAAAAAAAGAGAAACTATTTATTTGATAAAAAGACATCAGTTACTAACTCCTCCACCTCCATTAATTTCTGTCTCCAGCCAATTTTTAACATTTCCCTAAAGTAAAGTTTCTCTCATCTCAATAAAAAAATAGTGTTTTAAAACGAAACTAAAACAACTGATCTAAAGGTCTTGGCTCAGGCGGCAGCTTCCATTGGGATGATTAAGCTTTGGTTTTCACGTCATAACCATAAGCACATGATTTGTCACTAGTTATGACCCTCTGGAGCAAATTTGGGTCGTCGCAGACAGAGTCCAACAGATCCTTAGCAATGTTAATGCAATGCTGTCTTTGGTCGAAATTGAGCAATTTTAGTACGAATTTCGCGGCGACCCGTCTCATGCCCAAAGATAAAAATCTAATGGTAGGAGCCAATCGATATGTTTAGGTCCTCAGCAACTTCTCTAACGATGAGTCGCCGATTGGCCAATACTATTTTCTTTACTTCATCAATGTTTTCGTCTGTTGTTGACGTGCTCGGGCGTCCGGAACGCTCTTCGTCTTTCACATCTTCACGGCTCTCTGAGAACATTTTGTACCACCGATAAACGTTGCTTTGGCCCAAGGTAGCTTCACCATATGCCACAGTCAACATTCAGAATGCGTCCACGCACTTAATTTTTTTTTTTTCACACAAAATTTGATACAGATCCTTTGATCCATTTTTGGAATAAGCGAAAATCGAAGACGAGCCAAAATACGTGCAAGCAAAGCAGCGGTCAAACATTAACTGAACATTCAACATGAATGAACTTGTCGGTATAAGTGAGAGACATACCAACACAACACCATCGAAAATCGAGTAAACGTAACTCGCGAAAATTCAAAATTTCGTATATGAACGTTAAATTAACTACTGAAAATTTGACAAAATCTGTCATTTCATTAATTAAAGAGTAATATACGAGTAAGAATCTTTCAGTAAGATTAACTACATATTGTCATTTTGTTTAGACCGTGAACAGTCCATTTTACATTAAATTATATCAACTTTATGTGCCAATATTTTTTATACAAGCTACTTTTACTCTCATTTGCTCTTCAGTCCTTTTCCGCCAATAATAATAGCAATACAATAAATGTAACAAACTATTGTAGCTACAACCTAAAATTTTGCAATGACAAAAGCATTCATACTGCATGTAAGTACCGTCCGTGCGAACCGGGTCCGGCATGTGGAGAACTGTATCAGCCCCAACCTATGGACAAACTCATGCGAGCATTTGTGTTGGACTTACACAACAGAATAAGAAGCTCATTAGCACTGGGTGAAGATAAAAGAATAATAGGAACTATAGCCAATATGAACATTTTAACTTACGACTTCGAGCTTGAATACATTGCTGAGTGTTGGGTGAACCGGTGTTTTGAAAACCATTTAAAACCGCACGATGAGTGCAGGAAAACGTATCTATTTCCTAGCAATACCGGCCAAAATCTTTGTCACTTAATTCAACCAAAGTTTAGTGATGGATATATGAGAAATGGAGAGATCGAAAGGTGCATAGGTAGCTGGTACGAAGAAGTACAATTTACTAGTCCAACAGACTTCACGTTTTTCAGTGGCGACAGGACTATAGGACATTTTACGCAATTGGTTTGGGCTGATGCCATCCACGTAGGATGTGCTAGGGTAAAGTACGGTAGCGGGAGTTTTGCGCAGTTTCTATTTTGCTGCAACTATGGACCGATGGGAAACATTGTCGGAAAATCCGTCTACAAAATTGGAAAGCCGTGTAGTAAATGTAAACGCCGCAATCGCTGTGATGATAAATACGAAGGCTTATGTGACGTAACAAACCATATACTCGATTCATCTTCTAGTAGGTATTCAACTTTCCACAAGTTGACTTTAATAACATTTTCAATTGCAACAAACTTTTTAATATCTCTATTTATTTAAACAAGTCCCTTGAATATATATGTAATTTATTTAACACAGAAACAACTGTATACCATTATTTATTTAACAATTTCTTATTTCATTCACTGTAAATTTATATCATTGTTTAGTTCTGTTATTTCCGCACTATTCATTTTAACTGTCTTTTGTTGACTATATTCGACTGTATTCTGGCGGATGCTATACCGATTACTTATTTAATACTTCCAGAAACTTCCCGTAAGTTTCTTTTCTTGTTGCGTTTTTGTATGTGTCGTCTATCTATTATTTATGTCATTTGGCTGTGTTCCTCAAATATGCCGCCGTTATCGATAAGCGACTGAAATTAAGAAGGTGTTAACTTAGGTGCAATAAGGATCATATGGCGAGTCTAACAGCGTTCAAGAACAATTTACAATCCGCAGATGGTCCTTAGCGTGATTTGGTAACGTAGGTGTAGTACAACTAAATGTTTGAATTGAAATTCTGATGAGGACCGAGCAGGTATACATAGATGGAGTGCAAAATATATAATGGCGTTTATCCTACACCTAAAGCCAACATAAATAACAAACAATTGAGGCCGATCACGGTCTGATTAGCTCTAAAGCACTTTTTGTCAGACACTGACCTTAAAAGAATGGATGACATCGCTCACAGTGATAACTACAATTGTTCTAGCGCGATACACTGACGTAGTGGAATGATTAATAGTACTACTAGCAGTTGAATGCGGCGTAGCGTTGTATAATTTCTCTACGTGATTTACGAGGGTCGTACCAGCTCTTATACGTACTTTCAAATACATAGCTGCTGCTATGGGTGAAAGTGACAAGGATTTCTATAAGTCTCTATTTCTATTAGTCTCTCAACAACTACTGTGATTCCTTCTGCACCAGATGAACTTCTCAGTTCTATTCTCTACAATGCGCAAAAGGTTCTGGCGTCAATTTTGGATTTATGGTGTTTTAAAATCAAATGATGTTCGAGGAAACAATCAATGAATTTGAGCTCAACAATAATGAAATCGACCTCACTTCATTATTTTCCGCTATGCCTACCACCAATTATTGGGGTTTTTAACTTCACTTTCTGTGGCGATTCGATATGAATGTTACGAATCCCCTCTCTTTCACCGTTAATTTCTATTTCCATATAAATATGTTCTCAAAAAAGAACTACTACCGAGCGGCATGGACTAGAGGTCTAGACCATTGCTTAGCATTCGGGAGGACGCCGGTTCGATTCCGGGTCCGTCTGCCTTGATCCAAGTTTTTCTGTGGTTTCCTTGGATCGCTTAGGCAAATGCTGGGGCCATCGACGTTTACTAATGGACATGCCTTAGCGCTCAGAACTGTGGTACAATAAAAGAAACAGATGGAACGAAGTTTCGGACAGTAGCCATCTCTCTCATGATAATGCGTAAGCGTGTCATGAAAGAGATAGCACTAGTCCGAAACCATACGCCATCTCTCTCACTTTTAGAGCCAAGAAATTATTACAACGAGTCTTTGGAAGGTTCCGGGCGGGTAAATTTTTGCGAGGCCCTCGTCTTTGTGAAATTAATTTTAATAATGATATTTGAAAAATGCAAAGTGATTCATAAATAAGTTTACAGTTTTAAAATTGTTTATCAAAAATTAAAAAAAATTGATAAAGACAAAGATAGCAAATTTGCGACTTCTTTTAAGACTTTTAAGAAATTCAAATAAACATTAGTAGTATGTAGTATTACTACCTAATATTTTTCTAATTAGATTGTTGCGCAAGTGTGCGAGGCCCCTGTAAGAGCGAGGCCCCGGGCGGTTGCCCTGTTCGCCACCCCGGCTAAGGCACGTCCATTAATATATGTCTATGGCTGGGGCAGTAATATTCCACAGATAATCTTTCATTCTCTTCCGTCTTAATTTCGTCCGCCTCAACTTTCTCACGCGAATCACCATCCACCCAATCCCACACTTCCTGAAAGCAGGATGAAGAGGGCCTTCCGCCCTACTTTCCGGCGTAGTCCGGAGGGACTGCCCGCCCACCAGCATTGCCGGCTGGTGGGAATGAAACACTCAAAAAGTTTTTTGAATTTTTTTTTGAAAGAAAGAACTACTAGAAGGGTACGAGGTAGGGGGTTTCCCTTCTTCCACGAAAAAAAAAAGAAAAATACAGTGATTGGAACGTTCCCTCAATATCATTATATGCAAAAGCTCAAAAATGCCATTTTTTAAGCATAGCAATTAATAATTATTAATTATCGCTCAAACAATTAATTTTAACGTGTTTAAAGTGCCTTAATAAAATGTTCAGAAGGAAGAATACAAAATTAATAAAACATTATTTTAGTTTTACACATTACTTTTACTAATTTCACAGGTTATTTAAGTAAAAGTATATTGGACAACTATATAATTTTCTTTCGGAAATAGCTGGCCCATAAGATATTATTGTAGTATCAAGCAACCAGTTATGAGTAAATATTTTTGCACATAAAATAAAATTTTTGCATATAATACATGTCAACTGTCCATGTTTACGTCCCTTTTAAATAGCTATTTGTAGAAAAAAAACAAGTTTATTTATTATTCATTACAGAACACAGTATTTTTGAAATAACTCACAAGTCATCATCTATGTTAGCGAGTGCTTCATGCAAGTCCCTAACAGCTATATGAAAATCATTGGAATCTCTTAAACTACATGAAACCTTCCTTATGTTAGTGACAAAACATGTCCTTTCACCACAAACATCTTGAAAATTTCCAGTGACTTCCACCTACAAAACCTAATAAGCAATACCTGATATATAATATTTACTTTTTAAACCTCCTTACCCTATCTCCTATTTCAAAACTTAAATAATTTGGAATGGATTTCAATCTTTCCATTATTTCATTATGCATTATTTTACATACCTACAATTAAAAAGTTTTTTGAAATAATTTTATTAATAAATAAGAAAATAATTTAAAAAAATATAGAAAATGGTCACTAATTGTAAATTACAACAAATTTTAATTAAACTCGACAATAAATTGTTTTGCTTAACTTTAGAAATTTTACAAGATTGCTGTACAACTTCTGAAGAAGCTAAAGTTAACAAAACAATATTGTCAAATGTAATAAAACTTGATTGCGATTTAAAAATGTGTGTTTATTTTTTATATTTGTTTCAAACAAGTAATCACAGTCTGATTTATATAACTAATTTAGATTACTTGTAGCAGTTCATTAACAGAGTCATTTTCATTAGTCTCCTCATTTTCCTCTTCCGTTTGCTGCAGGTATTGTTGTTTGATAAGATCTAAGGGTGTATTTGATTCTACTATGCATGGAATAATATCTGTGTTATCATCAACTGTAAATTATAATTCTATTGAATAATTACTTATCACACAAAATGATTTTTACCAATTAAGAGTGCTTTATCATAATCTAATCTAACATCTACTACAATCCCTCTTATCTTGGCATTGATAAATTTGAGATTCATGAATTGTAAGCAAGTTTCATCATCTGATATATTAACAGTTTTTGAGTCAAGTATATTGCCTATATATAATTTCGGAATATTTTCAGGTAATTCAACAGATTTCTTAGTTCCTTCAATTGGTTGATTGGTCAATTCGTGTAATTCTGGATAATCAGCATAATCATCATAATCATAACAATCATCATAATCAACAGATTTCTCAGTTTCTTCAGTTGGTTGGATNGCTGGCCCATAAGATATTATTGTAGTATCAAGCAACCAGTTATAAGTAAATATTTTTGCACATAAAATAAAATTTTTGCATATAATACATGTCAACTGTCCATGTTTACGTCCCTTTTAAATAGCTATTTGTAGAAAAAAAACAAGTTTATTTATTATTCATTACAGAACACAGTATTTTTGAAATAACTCACAAGTCATCATCTATGTTAGCGAGTGCTTCATGCAAGTCCCTAACAGCTATATGAAAATCATTGGAATCTCTTAAACTACATGAAACCTTCCTTATGTTAGTGACAAAACATGTCCTTTCACCACAAACATCTTGAAAATTTCCAGTGACTTCCACCTACAAAACCTAATAAGCAATACCTGATATATAATATTTACTTTTTAAACCTCCTTACCCTATCTCCTATTTCAAAACTTAAATAATTTGGAATGGATTTCAATCTTTCCATTATTTCATTATGCATTATTTTACATACCTACAATTAAAAAGTTTTTTGAAATAATTTTATTAATAAATAAGAAAATAATTTAAAAAAATATAGAAAATGGTCACTAATTGTAAATTACAACAAATTTTAATTAAACTCGACAATAAATTGTTTTGCTTAACTTTAGAAATTTTACAAGATTGCTGTACAACTTCTGAAGAAGCTAAAGTTAACAAAACAATATTGTCAAATGTAATAAAACTTGATTGCGATTTAAAAATGTGTGTTTATTTTTTATATTTGTTTCAAACAAGTAATCACAGTCTGATTTATATAACTAATTTAGATTACTTGTAGCAGTTCATTAACAGAGTCATTTTCATTAGTCTCCTCATTTTCCTCTTCCGTTTGCTGCAGGTATTGTTGTTTGATAAGATCTAAGGGTGTATTTGATTCTACTATGCATGGAATAATATCTGTGTTATCATCAACTGTAAATTATAATTCTATTGAATAATTACTTATCACACAAAATGATTTTTACCAATTAAGAGTGCTTTATCATAATCTAATCTAACATCTACTACAATCCCTCTTATCTTGGCATTGATAAATTTGAGATTCATGAATTGTAAGCAAGTTTCATCATCTGATATATTAACAGTTTTTGAGTCAAGTATATTGCCTATATATAATTTCGGAATATTTTCAGGTAATTCAACAGATTTCTTAGTTCCTTCAATTGGTTGATTGGTCAATTCGTGTAATTCTGGATAATCAGCATAATCATCATAATCATAACAATCATCATAATCAACAGATTTCTCAGTTTCTTCAGTTGGTTGGATGGTCAATTCGTGTAATTCTAGATAAACATCATAATCAACAGATTTCTTAATTTCTTCAATTGGTTGGTTGGTCAATTCGTGTAATTCTGGATAATCATCATAATCATCACAATCATCATAATCATCAGATTTCTTAGTTTCTTCAGTTGGTTGGGTGCAGCGTTCGTGTAATTCTAGATAATCATCATAATCAATAGATTTCTTAGTTTCTTCAGTTGGTTGGTTGATCAATTCGTGTAATTCTGGATGATCAGCATAATCATCACAATCACCATAGTCAACAGATTTCATAGTTTCTTCAGTTTGTTGGGTGGTCAATTCGTGTAATTCTAGATAATCATCATAATCAACAGATTTCTTAGTTTCTTCAATTGGTTGGTTGGTCAATTCGTGTAATTCTGGATAATCAGCATAATCATCATAATCAACAGATTTCTTAGTTTCTTTAGTTGGGTGGGTGGTCAATTTGTGTAATTCTAGATAATCATCATGATGATCATCATCATCACCATCATAATTACCATCATGATCATAATTAATATAATGGTCAAAATAGATATCATCTACAAATTGAAAATTTTTAGATTATTGCACTATGAAGTTTAACTTTGGGAAAATCCTCCTTCTTTTTCTTCACCTAGTATTTCATCAGTTTCTTCATAACGATTAATCTCGTCTTCTTCTTTAGCTAGTATTTCTTGGATTTCATCGTAAAAATCAAGTTCATTCATTTCATTACAGGCTTCCATGTTATATACGGTATTTAATACTAACCGATACTATCGCTGTAGTAAGCGTCCTCATAAAAACGTTAATAGGAACAATTTTAGTTATAAAATTTCAAAATTGTGATTTGAGGTTAAGTATTCAAGTGTTGTCTATAGTTTAAGATCCCACAGATCTTTTGCAGTTACTTATGGGTTTCTAAAATGATAACTCTTTCATAGACACTACCTAACATACAAAGAAAAATATGAGGATAAAACATTATCTATGATTTTCACACACTTTTATTGCTTTTATTCAACAATACCGAACAATATCTATGTTCAACAAGTAGTAAGTGTTTCGCTAGTCTTGCATCCTCAGACGTCGTTTACTTCTGCTACTACCGTGGATAAGCTTACTATTATATGCTACTAACGTTACAATTAGGTATTTATATGTATACAATAATTGTTACTAGAGATTGCCTTTTGTATATCTATTACCTATGCTAGAGGTAGATCAGAACATATTCATAAGTGGGTAATTATTATATTTTTTTACGTGACGGATTCCAGATTTTAGTTATATTAATGTGGACAGATACTTATAGAAGTTAATGTGTGAAAATAAAATTTTTAATTAAATACTATTGGGATCCGTCAAATGGGAGGAGCCTAAAAACATGGCGCCGATTAGGGAAAATTTATCGTAGTTCCTATGGTGTACCGTGCAATTTCCAAGTTTTTAAATTACGATAAAATGATAAGTATTGACACAATATGTGATTGGGCTGACACAAAGCCTCGGAAAGGAAATTTCGTTGAAGGTGAGCGTGTTTTTAATGCCAATCACATTATAAAATTCGGAAATAACAAATCCGGAAGCTAGCCTTCAAATTCCGTCAAGTTTACTGCCTACTTTTTACAAACTTCGGATTTAAAAAGTGATTCACGTTATATAATTGGTGAGGTGATTCTGGGTGATTTAAGCAATATCATATCAATGACTTGCACGTGCAAAGCCGATTTAAGAGAACGTTGCAAACACATTATTGCAACTTTGTTGTATTGCAGCAGGTAGGTTCTTAACCTCAAAATACTTATATCGTATCATTAGAATTGTGTTAAATCAATTACACAGGAATAAATAATTTCTCACTTTATAATTTTAGTATGATTCTAGTTTTAAATATTAAGGTTATGGCTGATGGTAAATACTTGCTGAAATATAATCATGTGCATTAAAATGACGTGAACAAATTTTTATTCCGGAATTCACTTCTTTGATACCTACTGCTTTCATCCAAGCTTCTATTAGTTTACTTTTTTCTCTAATTTTCCGAATATATTTTTTACATATATAAAACGGTTAGTTTTTATTGGAAAGTAGTTAATGTAGGTGAAGAGTGAAGATCTATGTCTGAAGTGCTATTGCAGCTTTTCACTGAACATATTAACTTTTTATTTGATTTAACTTTAGAAGAAAACTTCGTCGACTCCATCATCAAAAAAATTTTTACTTTTTTAACGTGTTTTATTATTTTAATAAACAATTTTACAATTTGCGTGCACAGTTCCTATGTAAATTTTTCCCTCATTGGAGTTATAAATTTTGCCACCAGATGGTGTATGCCCATTTGACGGATCCCAATATTGTTCTTATTATTTTATAGAAACATTTTACTTTTCTTGCCAATTTAACGATAATACTTGATATGCTGTGCAGTATTTTAGCTAAATGTATTTCTTTTATTCTTCATTTCGCACTGTACCTTTCCTTGCAACTTAATTAAAAATATCATATGAAATACATTAAGAAACTTTTAGTAGTGGTTAATATTAAAATTTCTTTTAAAATCGGGAAAGCGGGGAGGGCAATAATAAAAGTTATTTGTTTCACGTGGCCGGTCTGTCACCGCGCCTTTCCGTTGTTTTGTTAGGGCGAGTTTTATTAGTGTTTGTTTGGGAGTTTACAATTAGAATTGAAACTACCGGGAAATTTACAAAGTGAACAAAACATGTCAGAAGATACGTAACGGAGAACCTGATAACGGTAATGGAAGAAAACGTCGGGGTGATCTTCGACATTAATTAACTGAACTAAAATACCAAAATCTAACGTATTACGCGCGTCACTTGCAAACTATGATTCCGATCTAAAACTTAAATTACTAAGTTTATTATGAACAATAAACCAATAAACACATTCATAAAAAATATAAGCATGGCAATAATCGTGGATACATTACGTTAAAATAATCGATGTATTCTATGCATATTCCCTGTTCCTCATTCTCTTCCATGCCGCCATGGATAGCGTGGCGTTGTGTCTATAGATCGTATGACGCTGCTCTCTTCCCATCTTATTCCTTAATGGGCGTTGGTAACAATGTTAAAATGCAGCATGAATGAGAATACGTGCCGCATATCAATAAATAAGTTTTTTTAAGCAATTGAAACACAATTGAACTTATTTATTATTCGCAACTAAAGCTGTGCTACACAGTAGCTTTTTAAATCAAAATTTACTAAGAAAATATTTGATTTAATAATAAATAATTTGTTAAAGTTTAATTGTGTTTTAATTGCTTAAAAAATATATATGTACCTATAAACTTTCATCTAATAACATATAAGAGTCAACTCAGTTACCCAAATAAATTAAGTGTTGAATAATTAGTTCGCATGCAATCTTTTGAAAATGCATGTTTTAATATCATTGTCGCTTTGACTTCATTTTCTCAGCTCAAAGAGCACTGAATTTTTAAACAGTTTTTCACTATTGTTGGGAGCAATTCGGGAAGAATTAGAAAGGCACAACCAGAACTATATAATCAACTAAATATCAGTGAAATAAAGCACACCAATTGAGTTTTTGTTTGCTTTTATTAAAAAAATGATTATTCTTAGGCTGAAGAAATATTTGACTTAATAATTACAATATCGTTACGAACTAGCATTATCCATGTTTGGTGGCGAATTCGTGAAGTATATCACAAGCCATGTCGATATTGTTTTTCGTGATGCCGAGAGCTTTGATTACCGCATCTTGAGAATACCCCTCACTGACTAGTTTCTTAATGTAGTCGACGTTTAAGTTTTCGTAACAAATCGTACTGTCCTCAACATTTAAAGGGTTCAATTTTTCATTGTATGTAGGTAGAACGCGTAGACGTACATTCTCATAAACTGTATCGTGACGATTGGCTTCGTTTTGAAAATTACAGAATATATTCGAAGTGCTTTTTGATAAGTTGTCACTACTGGATGTCTCGCTGACGTCAGAACGACAATCCGATATTACAATGCCAAAAATGGTCTCCGGTGAACTCAGTTCGACCGTTTCCGCATCGAATCCCCCCACCTCTCTGCCTAATTCTTGCACGGAATTGCTTTTCGTCATGCCGTTCCTAGATACATTAGACGAAGTTGTAGGTAAACTCATATGATCTAATGTAGGGGAAGTTCTGCGAGGCGGTATTGGCGGAGGCGCCGTTGTTGGAGTAATACTTCTTCGAACAGTTTTAGGACTACTCCGAGGTGATACATTCGGACTTACTGCAAACTATAAGAAAAATAACTTTCAAATCTATTTTAACCTCATTTCATATAAAATTATTTTCTATTGTCAGAGTCCCGAAGTAAAATGGCAAAAAAAGTAGCCCCTATAGTTTTGTCACATGCGTTGGTCCGTCTTTGACAATCAGAACCCACAGTTTATGTATTTTTAACTAAACTGAACAATATCGTTGAAAAGATCTTTGAAAATAACAGAAAGGTTACTCTTACTGCCTTATACAATATTTAAAATCTAAATGATCACATCCGATTTGTTAGACTGTCGTATACGTGTACATGTCGCAGAAAATTTTTTTTTTCGACTTGTTTTAAGCAATTATCTCAAGAAAATATTAATCAAGCGTGAGCGACATGTCGTACCAACTTGCAACTTTCAACTTGCAACATGCAAAGATGTCTGCTGGTTGCGAAGCATGTTGTTGACCTGTCCAATATATATTTGTACATGGTACATAATTCATTGCTAGAATCAGATGTTGCCTTCTGCTTAATCCTATTAAGGAGTTATAAACAGGGTGTAACAGAAATACATGCCTAGCTTTGGAAGGTGTAAAATAGATGCAAAAAATGTTTATTAAGACAATCATAGTAATTTTCCTTTTGAAGCCGGTCCTGTACGTGAATTGGTAACATAGGAGTCTAGAGTGATAAATACTCTTTAGCTACATAGATGGGGAATTACCGATTATCGAACATCTAATCGTACGATAAACATAAACAATTTAGTATTACACCTGTTGTTTAGGCTAACGATAAATAAATTAACTACAGGCAGTACTATGTAAATGTACGAACTCAAAAGAAGGAAGAAATTTAAGTTATGTACTTAAACATAAGTGGGTAAACGAGGATCATCAGTATAATTGTAACTTCATTAAAGCATACTTCCACACCATCATTGAGGTACTGTCAAGGTGCGTTACTTTTTTGAGGGTGGATCTAAAAAAGTTAAATAAGTTTCTAAAAATTTCGCACCACACATTTACCGAAAACAGTTGTTGCAATCATGAAGGATGTTCAATATTCGAATTTGCGACCCACTAATACTGATTTTTGTAAAAATTGAAACAAAATTGTCTGTAAACAACATCCTATAAAAAAAAATACACTATGCAGCATTTTCCTTTGAAACTACCGAAACAAATACACTCGCGGCTGATAAATCAGTTTCAAACAATGCTTGCACTCGCTGCAAATGATAAGGATGCAGCAACTGGTCCCTTTAAAAATTGCTACACTGTCACATGAGAGGAGCCAACGTTCCCTGCTATTTCACGTGCACTATTTTGGAGAACATATTCTTATCTGAAATTAAGGATTTCGTCCCTACAGAGTCGATATGATTCAAAGCCGTAAATACGTATCATTACAGTAAAAGCTGTTATCAAAATCAATGTTCGCGTTTTGCAATTAAAATTAATCGTTATAATCAGCTGTTCTGTTACATCCTGTATTTCAATGCCAATGCATATATGAGAATTGTCGCTAAAAAATGATTGGTAAAGTGCAACGTGCAACCGTTTTAAGTATTTTTCATATAAACGTTTCATAAAATATCCAGCTTCTAAAATGAAACAGAATAGGCAACTTATTTCTAAAGCTTTAAGGAATACGTATGTTGGACCAGGCAAAAGGAAAACATTGATCAGTTCGTGTACATTTCATAACGTTAATAGCTATTGTTTGTTTGGTTGACACTATTGTGATTCTACTATATTAACCAAATAAACTACTCATTCAAATAATAATAAAAATTACTTACTTGAGTACCGCTTCTTGCAGAAAGGGTTAAAGCCTGAAGACTGCTCTCGCCCCAATTCCATGTTTCATTTCCATCCTGCAATAAAAATTCCTACAACTTGTTATTTTAATAGTTTCGCAGACATACTGCCGTTTCCTTTTTATTTATGTAATATATCGCCACCTGTATAGGGTATCCCATCACTTTTTCGGGGTGTATATCCTTATTATTATAGATAGAAGGTTTTCGCAGCAATGTGCTACTTTTTTGCAAAATTAGATAAAGGCTTGAATTGAAAAGTATCACTTTTAAGACACCCCCTCATGAACTTATCGAAGGAGTTAAAAATTATTCTTACAGAACTTTTTCCGTAGAATCTAATGGCTAGCACGTTTAAAATAGAACACCCTGTAACATATGTTTGTGTCATAACTGAAAAAAGGAAAGTGCTACGCCACTGGATTCTATGGGAGAAATTCTATAAAAACACCTTTTAACTTTTTCAATAAGTTCAAAGATAACTGAGGTATGAGGAGGTGCCTTAAAGGTGACAATTCAAGCCGGTATCTCAAAAACCAAAAGAGATATGAAAATTCTGCTGGCGTCATCTTTAATTTCAAAAAAAGCAGCACCCTGTTACGAAAATCACAACCGTCTAATAATAAGGGAGGTACCCCGCGAGAATGTAAAAAATAGGATACGATGTACATACTTGCTGCTAATTCCAGTATGTCATAATGCTTGGTGAGGGGTTTCTACTAGAAAACTGGATCTCTGGTTCACTGAATGTTTATACTAGATGGCGACATACTGCTACTTATTTGATAATTCAGCATTTTGTTAACTTTTAGCAGTTTTATTTGATTACTGATTTATGAAAACTAATTCCCATGGTGTTCCAACGAAAAATAACAAATACAATATCGTGGATGCATCAGGTAGTTTCCAAAAATTGCTAACCATATAGACATAGAGAATGGAGAATTGAACTGATCGTTCTGTATCATATTCCGAAATAAATAGATTAAAATGCGAGAGAAGCAAAGTGAATATGTGGCCAGTAGTAACTTTCTAAGGCTTGTAAAAAAGAAACAGGTACCTTTTGGCAGCACTATCGTTCCGTCTCTTTCTGGAAAGTGATAACTTTTTGTGAGACTGATCCTCAGTACATTCTCTACGTCCATGGCTGACTGAGGCATAATTAGTCGTTTTTATAAATAATCCTTTAAACTGCTCATTAATGAAGCTTTTAATTCATATGTAAATAAAAATATATTGTGAAATTCCTTCCTGACTAATCAAACGCATAGGTAGGCATATTCGTAGGTAACCGTCATGATATCCATTCGGTGTCCGCATTACGTCAATTCATATGTAACGTTTGTGTTAGCATTCAATAGGATATTGAGACTGTTACGTATCATGTGTTTTTACTAATCGAAACTTCGAAAAAGAAACTAACGTAACCACATCCAATTCTAACCTAACCTAATCGAACGTAGTAGTTATACAGGATGTCCAGAAAGGGTAGAGGGTGTTTATAAATTCCTTAAAAAAAATTGTGTGGTTTTATGAAACCACGATGCAAGTGAAACTTTTCGTATTGTAGGCATTTAACTGTAAATTTTCGGAAAATTATTCGATTTAGGGTATTAAAATTAAAATCGCGTTCTTAATCTTATCTTAATGATTGGAAAATGGGAATGATAATGGGAAATCAATAGTAGACAAGATATCTAGCTCGCGATTAAAAGACACAAATACCGCGGAGCACTTGCACGAATGAGTGAGAATATAAATGCTGCACGGTTAGCTCATGCGAGACATGGGCGCCGCCATATTGGCCTCAGCTGTTCTGCCTAGCGCGTTTCACTTTTACCCCTACTCCGCGGCCGGCTGTAATGCGACATGCGTTAGATGGAAAAAAAAAATTGAGGCGATGTAATAAAAGTTTCACTTTAAAAGAAATATTTTTTGTTAATTTTTACACAAAGTTTTGGAAAGTAAAGTGCCAAAGATGATGTCTGAATGTTGACCCTCCCGCTGCTGGCACTCCGAAAACGGAAATTAACCGTCATGCATATGCCCATCTCTCTGGAAACAGCGGCCATATCGTGGTTTCTTTGCATACACCTTCCCTTTAAGATATCTCCATAAAAAATAATCAGGTGTGAGATCGGGACTTTTCGGAGGCCAGTTGATAGTGCCTCGACCAGAAATTACTTTTTCCAGAAAATGTTGATTGACACCCGCAAGCTATTGGTTTGAGGTGTGGCAAATGGCCCCATCTTGTTGAAATCATCTTTCCACATTAAAACCACCAAGCTCTTGTAGTTGTGGAACCAAAAAGTTTCGTAATTTGTCACAATACCGGTCACTGTTTACCGTATAAGTGTTCGCTCTCGTCAGTCATCAAAAAAAAGAAGGCCCAAAGATGTCTTTAACAGACATGACAGCCAATGCAATAATTTTTGGACTATGTAGTGGTTGTTCATGTTTATGTCTTGGTTATTCTTTGGCCCAGGATCGGCAGTTCTGTTTGTTTACGTGACAATTTAAGTGAAAGTTCGCTTCGTCACAAAGCCGAATGTTTTCAAAACTTGGAAAGCGTTGAAGCATTTACTTTGGAAAATTCAGTCGGACAGGATAATCGGTAACGTTCAGTTTTTGAACTAACTGAATTTTGTAGACTGTAAAATGTAAATTTTGCTCCATAATTTTCTGTAACGACGATTGTTTAATATCATGTTCTTGACTGATTTTGCGAACTGATTGAGAGGCACTAACACTCTCATTTCTTCAATCGTTTGTTGGGTTCGAACAGAGCGTAGGTTACCTGAATTGTGAATTTTTGCAGTCGAACCAGTATTCTAGAACGTTCAAATCCATTTTCTGATGGTATCGTTCTTCGGTGCATTCCGTACACCGATTTTTTTCCGATATAATCGTTGAGCTATGATCGATATTGCGATAATAGGCTCGTATGCAAAAAGCGTGATGGTCTACCAGGTACATTTCCAAGTAGTGAAACAACCTATCCCCACGGCACCCCTCCGAACCGCGCCGGTACTAGGGCAGCGTAGATACAAATACCCCCTACTCTTTCTGAACACCTTGTATTAAAGGTTTGCGTTAGGCTACGTTAGTTTCTTTTGCAAAATATCAATTGGCAAAAGTGCATGATGCAAAATATCAATTGGCAAAAATACATGATATGTAATAGCCTCAATATCCGAGGTAGGTAGGTACATACCATAACAGACAATAATAATAATTACATTGAAAATGAAACTATAATGCACATGTAGAATTCGTAGGTACTATTTAGTAATGTAAGGAACACATAATAAAAATGCTTCAAATGCAGGCAATTCTACTAAAGTACGACAAGCTTAATGATAGCCATGCAATTTTGGCAAGCCAATAGTTACTGCTATGCCGTAGAATGTTATGCATATGACACAATCAGATATGTTTTGTAATGTAATACATTTCAATGAATTCTATTTTTCATTAGATACATAATTGATTTATCAATATTCCACACACATTTTATTATAAAACTAAAGCTTATTTAATAAGAAAATAGATAACTGATATTATTTCGCTCAAGCATAATATCATTTAATAAATTAAATACCTACTGAAAAATTATTCTGCAGTATTTTACTGCATGCAACTGATGTAATTACATATACAAGAATTCTATAAAATTTGACAATCGTATAAAAAATAAAATAAAATAGTAATGAGTCTTTAAAACATGTTTGATTGATATTGTTCAATTAAAAATATTAAGTATACGTAACTGTGCAGAGGTATAATTTACTTTAGAACATTCATTTTATGCCTCGGAACCTGGACTACCTTTCCATATGCATAGGGAATTTAAACATTAAGAGCCCACATCAAATAGTACGTCAGTAATTTTTAAATAGCCTGCTGCTTTATTTTAATGAGCGAATTTAAAGATAGGAGACGAAAAATTAGAAGTGGCTGATTTTAAATATATATAGGAAGTCAGATATGTGAGGACGGAAGGAGTAGTAGGGATATAAAGCAGAGGATAACGCAAGGTCGTGTCGCCTTTAATAAAAAGAAGTCACTTCTATGCTCGCGAACGGTTAATTTAGAAATTCGAAAAAGGTTGTTAAAGGTGTATGTTTGGAGCACGGCGTTGTACGGGTG